CGCGAGCAATTGATTGATGAAAGCGCTAAACTCTTTGGAAGAGAATAAAGACAGTCTAACGGTGTCGCGGCGAGTAGGTTGCTCTCGTTCGCGGTCACGCATGGAGGTTCATTCGCGCGGTATTATTATGTCGTGTATTGCGCGGGAGAAACACGCGAGCGTGTGTCAGCTATAGTACGGTCAGTCGTCGTTACTCTGTTGATGTCACGAGGGGTGGTGGGGTGGGGGGGGGAGGGGTTGTGTGCGCGCGCGCGTGTGTGCGTGTGCGTGCGTGCGTGTGTGTGTGTGTGTGTGTGTGGTGGGGTGTGCGTCTGTGTGTGCGTGCATGCGCGTGCGTGTGTGAACGTGTGCCAGTGCGTGCGTGCGTTCGTGTGTGTGTGCGTGCGCGTGCGTGTATGCGCGTGCGTGCGTGCGTGCGTGTATGCGCGTGCGTGTGTGGACGTGTGCCAGTGCGTGCGTGCGTGTGTGCGTGCGTGTGTGCGTGCGCGTGCGTGTATGCGCGTGCGTGCGTGCGTGCGTGCGTACATGCGCGTGCGTGTATGTGTGTGCGTGTATGCGCGTGCGTGTCTGAACAGGCCCGTAACAAGAACCTATTTCTGGCGGAACATAATTTCGTGACTCAAGCGAGCAATGTCGAGGGAATAGATTTTTTTGAAAGGTTTAGAGCAGTAAACGACGTTATGGCACAGCATTAGTCTGCAGGGATCATTCTGTTCAATTATTTATTACATTTAATTTAGGTTAATTTGCATTTGTTAAGCTTATTATTATTATGTTTTTCTTCGTAAGCTGCCCTTGCCACTGGGTGGTAGTTCTTTGCGACAGGCTTAAATGTAAATTAAATCACGTACGCAACACACACACACACACACACACACACACACACACACACACCCACACACACACACACACACACCACACACACACACACACACACACACACACACACACACACACACACACACACACACACACACACACACACACACACACACAGTTTGAGAGCTTTTATTTTTCGACCATCGAAAAATGCACGACGCCACGAAGGAAAAAACAAACCAAACAAAAAACTGAATAAATATTGGCGTCCGACCGCATTATGTGCTACAGCGCGCGGGGTATGAGAAAACAACGCAGGCCGTCTTATTCAGGGCAGAAGTAATAACATCGTGCGCGCATACGTGGCTGGCATTGAACATTAAGAGTACATAATAGAGATCTATTACGCTACTTTATTAACTTCAGGAGTAGATAATAGGAGAGGATCCCTTTATCTACTCCTGTTAACATGCTATTACACATGGCTGGATTAGCATGGTACGGTGATGGTGGCGTAGCGGGGAGGAGGTGCGGAGATGGTTTGGCGGTAGCGGGGAGGAGGTGCGACGCATGGTGGCTGGATTAGCATGATGATGGGTTGGCGGAGAAAGGAGAGGCGCATGTCGCTGGGCAGGCGCGATTAGCGGTTAATGATTAGCGGTTATTTAATGACGGAGAGATCGAGAGATAGCGCCACTGTGGATCTGTGCGGATTCAAGTTACGACCATCTGTCGCGCCTCTCTTCTCTTCTGTTTTTCTTTCTTTCTGTTCTTTTCTCTTTCTCTATCTATCTGTTCTATATATCTGTCTATCTATCTATCTATCTATCTAATCTATCTATCTATCTATCTATCTATCTATCTAGTCTAATCTATCTCACTCTATCTATCTAATCTCTATCTTCTATCTCTATCTCTATCTCTATTCTATCTCCTATTCTATCTCTATCCTATCTCTCTCTCTTCGTCTCCTCTCTCTTCTCTCTCTCTCTCTCGCTCTCTCTCTCTCTCTCTCTCCTCTTTCTCTCTCTCTCTCTCTCTGCTCTTCTCGTTGTCTACCTCTTTCTCTGTCTACACTCTCTTTCTTCCTATTCTCTCTTTCTCTCTCTCTCTCTCTCCCCTTTCTACCCTCTTCCTCTCTCTCTCGGACACGATTTTGCTCCACACTTCCTTCGCGCGGATTTCCGCACCGCTACCACTGCCGCCGCCGCTGTCGCCGCCGCTTCCACTGTCGCTGCCGCTGTCGCCGCTGCTTCCACTGTCGCCGCCGCCGCCGGGCCGACATCATCGAAAGGTTATGTTGTCTTGTAAAAGTGACTCTTATTTAGAGAGTGTTTGCAGTGCTGTCGAGCTATGATACGGTGGGAGATCGGTGGTGATGTGGTGGTGGAGAGAAAGACAGGGTGAGGAAGAGGGGAGGAAGGGAGGGGAGAGGAGAAGGGAGAGGAGGAGGAGGAGGAGGAAGACATAGAGGGGGAGAGGGGAGGGAGAGGGGAGGGAAGGGAAAGGAATGAAACCTCGACGTTCCTTCCTCGCCCGAGTCTATGTGGGGTGTCCGCTACTAGGCTCTCGCATCAAAAACACACCTCGCCCGCAGACTTCCAGTAACTTCTCCAGCACTATCGCCAAATATCCAGTCTTCTTCTCTCTTCTCTCTTCTTCTCCTTTCTCTCTCTCTCTCTCTCTCTTCTCGACTTCTCTCTCTCTCTCTCTTCTCTCTCTCTCTTTTCCTCTCTCTCTCTCTCTCTCTCTCTCTCTCCTCTCTCTCTCGTCTCTCTCTCTCTCTCTACTCTCTTCTCTCCTCTTTCTTCTCGTCTCTCTCTCTCTCTTCTCTTCTCTCTCTCTCTCTCTCTCTCTCTCTCTCGCCTCTACATCTAGTAACTCAGTATGCTGCCCGCAGCGACTATCCCTTCTCTCTTTTCTTTCTTACTTCTCTCTCTTCTCTTTCTTCTCTGGTTCTCTCTTTTCCCTCTTCGCTTCTTCTTTTCTCAAGCCGCCGTCGAACGTGCCGAGATTTTAACGCTTCGGTTCCGCATCCGCGCAGGAAACCCCGTCAGCGCAAAACCAGAGCGACGGTTAGCGGCTGGCACGCGGATCGCCCCCCTCCTCCAAGAAATATCGCCTCCGCGAGTTGTCCATAACAGAGATGACTCCGCGAGCGTGTGTGTTTTTTAGTGGCGAGTAGACGGGCGATACACGAGATTCTCTTTGTTCGTCGCGTCCCGTTTTTCTCGCTTTCGGGCTCGGCGACCGCATTCTATTGACTAACTTCGTCAGTTCAGCGAGGCTTCCCCCATGCACGCCGCTAACCGCATATATACCTTTCACTCGCGCGCGCCAGCCACGATGATGACGGCGATAGAGAGAGAGAGAGGAGAGCGAGGATGAGATGAGGAAGCGAGGAGAAAGCAATGGCGATGAGATGAGGACGAGAGAGAGGAGAGAGGAGAAGAGAGAGAAGAGAGAGAGATGAGAGAGAGAGAGGAGTAGAGACATGCTTTGGCTTGGATCCGAGAAGAGAGAGAGAGAGAGAGAGGAGGGAAAGCGAAACGAAAATGGGAAAATTCGCCGCGTCCGATGAAATGTTGTTTGCGCGGCTGCGGACGCGGCAATATTGCCTTTGTTGGCGCGTCGACAGGCGAGAATGCCCGCAGCATCCCGAATTTAAAAAAAAACTCCCCGGCTTCGTTTATCCAACAGATTAATCGACACGAATCGCGGAATTGCTCGCAGCCGTCGCAGCAGCAGCATCCTCTAGCATCCCTCAGCATCCCTCAGCATCCTTCAGCATCCGTCATCATCCTTCAGTGTCCATCAGAATCCCGCAGCATCCCTCAGCATCCCTCAGCAATCCTCAATAGCCCAGCATTCCCCTTACAATTCTATCACTCCTTCCAGCATCACGCACCATCCTCCCAGCATCCACCGAGGCCCTCCTGTACCCCCAGCATCCCCCTCACCATCCTATCCCCCCTTCCAGCATCAGGCACCATCCTCCCAGCATCCACCGAGACCCTCCTGCACCCCCAGCATCCCCCTCACAATCCTATCACCCCTTCCAGCATCACGCACCATCCTCCCAGCATCCACCGAGACCCTCACGTACCCCNGCATCCACCGACACCCTCCTCGCACCCTCCAGCATCCCCCTCACCATCCTATCACCCCTTCCAGCATCTACGGACACCCTCCTGTACACCCCCCTACTATCCCAACACCCTCCTGCACTTCCAGCATCCCCCTCACCATTCCATCATCCCTTCTAGCTTCCAGCATCCGCGCGTCATCAATATATCATCTGATCATTGTATCGCGCAGCATAACGACACTGGCGTCGCGTGCGTGTGCGCTATAATAACCATTATGACAGACGGGCACACACGGGTCGTAACAGGAGCACGGTTGTGTGATTATACGGTTACAACATTCTCAACACGGTCACAACGGTCACAGCGGTCACAACGGTCACAACGGTCACAACGGTCAAAACATTCACAACACGGACACGTCGGTCACAACACACAACTACACCATTACACAACTACTGTACAACAACTATACAACTACTATACAACCACTACACAACTACAGCACAACTACACAACACATAACACAACGCCATAATGGCCACAACGGTCACAACACACAACTCCAACAAAACTACACAACACAACTACACCACTACACAACTACTATAGAACAACTATGCAACTACAGCACAACTACACATGCAGCACACAACACAACGCCATAATGGTCACAACTGTCACAACACACAACTCCAACAAAACTACACAACACACAACTAGTATACAACAACTACACAACGGCCACAACATTCGCAACATTCGCAACTCACGGTCGCATCCATCTTTGTTTCTTTGTGTTTTCAGTGATCAAGCAGACGTACGAGGTGACGGTTAACGACAAGGATGCGATCAAGGGCAACACGGCCGTCATGAAGTGCGAGATACCGACGTTCGTGCAGCAGTATGTGCGGGTAGAGTACTGGCTGCGGGGGTCGGAGCGCATCGAACCAGGTACGTGTGTGTGGGGGGAGGGTGTGTGTGTGAGTGTGTG